CTATGACAGAATAATGTACTTATGTACACCTCGATCCCTAAAATATTTACATTTTATATTATTTTTCTAGACTATAGATAGCTTTTGTTTTTGTATAAGTTTTATTAATCATTTGATCAAATTAAATAGACATGTAGACAATGTCATCACTTATTTTGTAGGGCTTTTGATATAATTTTTGAAAATATAAATTTTACTTTTTATTTCTATAACAATTTGTGAACAAAATAATTTTACAAAAAGATACTCCATCTGATTTAGAAAATAGTTCACCTTTAATTTTTTAGCATCTCACCAAATACTTCTACCCTACTTAAAATAGCTAAAATACCCCTGAAATAACTTTTTTATTGTCAGTAGAAGTTATTTTGGGGGTATTTTAAGTATTTTAAAGGAGGTAAAATTGTTTTGCATGATATGCAAAAAACAAAACTAAAACTTCTTTTTGAAATGTAAGGAGTAAGATTTTACACATTATTTAGAGAAGGACAATAAATTTCAGAGATAGAGAGTATACAAGTAAGGCCATATGGTGTGGGAGTCGGCAAAGGTATCAATGAGGTGAGGCGGTAGGGGTACCCATCGATAACACCTCCCCTTACCTCGGTGTCGGTGTGAGTGAAATATATATTTCAAAGACGAGGAGTCTCTTTTCTCTTCCTCCCTCTCTCTCTCCCTTTTTCTTACTCTACCATTGAAAAGTTCCCGCCCAAACCCATCCTTCTTCTTCCTTTTTCCCTCTCTACCTCTTGTATGGATTGGGAGGCTAGTGACTGGTGTGGCCGTCGAGAAGAGGGAAACCACATCGTCTGGCCTAAGACACTTGGTTACAATAACTATCAAATCCACGTCATATCTCAAAAGGGCCTGCATGAAGAAGAAATTATTCCACTTATTGAATAATGGGATAATTACAAGATATATATACTAGAATTCTAATCCTAAATAAGGTAGGAGAACATAAAAGGAAATCTATATAAATAAAGTAATTACCTAGAATATTGACATAACAATAAATATTAAATATATACAATATATTTAACATGCTCCCTGCTACAAGGGTTGAGGTGGTGGTCTGATACCAAGATTGTCTCTGAAATCGATGAAAACCGGTGATGGGATCGGAGTCCTTTCGTGAAGATGTCAGCATACCGAGATTATGGAACATGAAGAACTCTAATGTGGCCGAGAGATACTTTATCACAAACAAAGTGTATGTCAACTTCAACATGCATGCTTGGTGCGTTGGTGCTGAACTAAATTAGATGAGAGGCAGAAAGCACTAATTACCATCGTCGCAGAAGACTAAATAGGGAGACGAAGTGGCTGTTGAACCTCAAGAAGAAGATTTCTTATCCAACTAGTCTTTGTAACAGCACTGACCACATCCCGATATTTTGCCTCTGCAGTAGAACCGGAAGTGGTGGCCTGACGCTTGGAGGAACATGAAACAAGGTTGTCGCCAAGGAAAACACAATAACCAAAAGTGGATCGTCGGGTATGAGGACACCCGGCCTAGTCTACGTCAGAATAAGCCTGTAGGTAATCTGTGGCCGAGCGTGATATGTGGATACCATAGGTGGCGGTTCTGCTGAGATATCGCAGCACGCGTTTCATGGCTGTGAGGTAAACATTGTGTGGTGCATGAAGGTGAAGATAGAGTTGCTGGACATCATATGTAATATCAGGATGGGTGAATGTAAGGTACTGTAAAGCTCTAACGATGGACTGGTAAAGAGAGGGATCAGAAATCGGCGTCCTATAAGAGGAAGTTAGCTTGGCCTTCGATTCCACAAGGGTTGAGATTGGACGGCAAGATACCATACAGGCACGATCAAAGATGTCATGGGTGAACTGAGTTTGATGCAGGAATAGCTCATTAGCAGTCTGGTGTCCATTAATCCCGATAAAGAAGTGAAGGTCTCCCAAGTCCATAATCGCATATTCATTTTTACAAAGGAGCATTGTAAGTATCCAAATTGGAACAGTGACTTCTGTAGCCACTAAAAAGTAGTGGCCATAGAACCGGCCCGTACGTTTTATTATATCTTTATTGTATCTTCTCTTATTGTTGCTGCAATATGTTTTTGTGGTCTGTGTTATCTGAGTCCTAAACTAGATAATGGCTTTTTTACTCTGTGATGGGATTTGAAGAATGAATATTTTCGATGATTAAACGTGTAGGAGTATGCCAGTTTGGATCTTTAAGAGCACTACGGTAAGGGGGGGGAATGGGGAGATAGGTACGGTGGTGTTGAGGTTTAGGATTTGTTTTGGGCGGGTGATGCCGGCTTTGGAACGGGTGAGCATGGGGTGTT